AAACCCTTGATTTGGATAGTGCTCCATTGAACTTATCCATCACAGCAGAACCATATCAAGAGGGATTCAAGATTCCCCACCTGGAGACATATGATGGCTCGGGTGACCCAGATGAACATCTGCACACCTATCAAGCAATCATGAGAATCCAAAATGCCAATGATGCCATGATGCGCAAAGTGTTCCCAACGACACTGAAATCAACAGCCAGGAGATGGTATCACAAGCTCCCCAGACATTCTATAGACTCATACTCCCAGCTCGCTAAGCTATTTTCTAACAAATTCACGAGCCAGAGGGAGATCAAACGCACAACAACCGAGCTGATGCAAGTTAATCAAAAAGAAGGGGAATCTCTGAGGGACTACATGCAGCGATTCAACAAAGCCACGTTGGACATTGATAACGTCCCAGATACCATCTGCCTGTCCGCCTTGCTACATGGTTTGAAACGTGGCAGGTTCCTGGACGACCTCCTAGAAAACCCACCGAGGACTTGGAATGAAGTAAATGACAGGTCGGCTAGCTTCATATTATCAGAAGACTTCCAGTCGTCCAAGCGACGAGCTGACGATAAGCAGAGCAAAAGCAAGGAACAGCCACCGAGAAGGGAAGAGAAGAAGAAACAGAAAGTTAGCGAACAGTGGGGGAAGCCCGCTGACTTCCCCAAGTATGCCAACTACATTCCTTTAACCTTGCCCAGGTCCCAAATCCTGGCGCAAATACAACATTGGGTTAGAAGGCCCCCACCCCCACTGTATGAGTCCCCAAAGGCAAACAAGAGCAAGCATTGTGACTATCATCGTACTTACGGTCACAACACAGAAGACTGCCAACATCTGAAGGATGAGCTAGAGTTCCTGGCTCGCAATGGGAAATTAGAAGGATATGTTCAGAAGCCCCACACCCAGCAACCCACTCAAACTCATTTTGTACAGGGGTATGGCCGACCTCAGGGGCAGAGGTACCAGCTCGGCATGGCGCAGGATGTATATCAGGACAATACATATCCTTCGGAGCAGGGCAGGGCGTATAGAGGGCGTCCGTTCAACAGGAGAGGACAGGGGCAGAGGGCTGCTACCTAGAACCAAAAGGATAAGAAAGGGGTAGGCTATGCTGGGATACCCCTGCCTTCGAGTACAATAAACATGATATCAGGTGGTGTTCATTTTGGGGGCCAAAGTGCTCGAGCTCGCAAGGCATTTGCCCGACAGGTGATGACTGTCAACAAAAATAAACCCTTGAAGCGGCCGTTTGAGGAAGCAGAATGGGAGAATATGTCTATCACATTCAGCTCGGCAGATTACAAGCGAGCAGAAGGAGAGCCTGACATTATGATGCCCCATGCAGATCCCTTTGTGGCAACGGTTCATATAGGCAATCATAATGTCAATAAAGTATTCATTGACACTGGCAGTTCACTAAATATCCTGTATTGGAGTTGCTTCCAGAAGATGCAGCTAAATCCGAGCTCGTTGCAGAAGCACGAAGGCCCAATATATGGGTTCGATAACTAGCCCGTCCCGGTTGAGGGAGTTATTACTCTTCCTATATATGTGGGCTCAGAACCCCGCTTCAGAATGGCTTCTATCACCTTCCTGGTCGTTAAGATGGAATCAGCTTTCAATGCTATATTAGGAAGAGCCACCCTGTGCGAGCTGAAGGCTGTTATCTCACAGCCCCATCTCTGTATGAAATTCCCAACTCC